TGTGTGCGTGTGTGTGTGTGTGTGTGTGTGTGCGTGTGTGCGCGACAGAGACAGAGAGAGACAGAGACAGAGAGAGACACAGAGACAGAGAGACAGACAGAGACAGAGACACACAGAGAAAACAGAGACAGAGACACATACAGAGAGAAACCGAGAGAGAGAGAAACAGAGAGAGAGAGAAACAGAGAGAAAGAGAGAGAGAGAGAGAGAGAGAGAGAGAGAGAGAAGAAACGGGCCCGTGGAGCCTCTACAAAACCTCTCACCCTCTCCCTCCCTCTTTTCTCTCTCTTCACCTTCCCTCTCCCTCACCACAACACTGTTCTCTCTCTTCACCTCTTCCCTCCATCCCTCTCTTCCCTCAGCTCCCCCTGCGGCTTCCCAGCTGCCAGGAGATGACATCTCCTTTCATGTTTGGGGCTGAGCACGGCTTTGAATGTTCGTTTGATTCCGTTAAGATAATAGCTGGTTCGCTGTCAGGCGCAGACTGATCAGTTAAAACCTTAATCACTGCCTGTCTCCGCACACGGCACTTATTTTTTAAGAGATTAATCCCCTCAGCCCTGCTCCGGCTCACATTCGGCTTGGGAGGAAAAAAAAGGCAGCGTCTGTGTTAGCCTGTTATTGTTATTATTGTCACCCTCATTATTCTGCGGATGACCTCCCTCCCTCCCTCCCGACAGCGAGGCCCATCTTTCTTGCTTCTGTATTCTCCGTCTTCCTCAGGTCTCTTGTATGCTCTCTCTCCCCTTGCACACACACACACACACACACACACACACACACACACACACACACTCTGACATGGATTTCCATGGCATGAGCTATATCTACATGCGGATTTAGTGTGAGCCTGACACCCTCGTGTGCACTTAGGTGTTCACACATGTCAGGACAGGACACAGTTTCCAGCATGAGTTCAGGAAGGCAGCTGAGAGAAGTGGCTGTGTATCTTGTGCGAATCATGTGTCAATCATCCTTGTCCCACTAGCCCTCAGATAATCACACCATGTGATCTTGAGGAGGAGCCTCTTCTGTTCTGCACAATGTCTTGATGGTGTGTCCCTCAGGGACTGAGGGGTCTGTCCATGTTGTCCAGGCTGGCCCCAACTCCTGGGCTCTGGTGGTCCCGTGGCTTCCTCTGGGTATCTGGCACTGCAGGAGCATGTCGCTCCATAGCTGGCTCTCTGAGATGTTCTGCTGCTGTCTCTCATCTTATTTCTTGTTTTACTAGACAAGCATTAGCCAGGTTGGGAAAGGAGAGCGCCGGATGTTAACCTCATAAGGGCTTGCTCTTGATACTGTAACCAAACATGATTTTTACAAAGGAAAACAGCCCAGAGTCCACTGAGCCCCGCCATTTAAAGGACACAGGAAGTGCCAGGCTCAGGGGTGGGGCTGAGTCACACTGCAGGTTGTGGTGCTGCTGGAGCCTCGTTTGGTTCTGGCTGGGCCTATATTATCCGAGAAAGACCAGTCATATAACCAAGTGCCAGGCACTCGGAGCTTACCCTAGGCCCAGCCCCGGAGGAGCCACACAGGTGTCCCGGGTGGCAAACTCTGCCTGCCCTACTGCAATGGTACCACATGCCAGGAACACTTTCAGGGTGTATGTGTGAAGGAGGGAGCTTGGGGCTGCGGGACCATAACAGAGGGATGGGGTGAGCACCTGGGCATTGCTGAGGATGTTGGCTTCTGTCCTGGGATGAGGGCTGCAGCACCAGGGCCAGGTGAGATGCCCTTCTAGAAGTCGGGGCGGGGTGCACACTCTGCTCTGGGAGGGGAGAGAAGTGCTGCTCCTGTGGCTTTTGCAGTCGCTGAAGTTGGCATCAGGTAGAAGGAAGGACTCTGCTTCCAGGACATGGGGACAGGTGACACAGAAGTCCTCACTGGCAAAGTTTTTCCCTTCCTTCACAGGATGGCATTAAGAGCTGGGTGGGCTGGCATCATTAGAAGGTTGAAAACCTTGGAGGAGTCGCCATTCAGCCTGTCTGGGACTCAGTTTCCTTCTCTAAAACAGGAGTCACGAGCAGAGCACCACAGTACTTCCGGTACTTGGCAGCTGAGGCAAGAAAATTGCCACAAGTCTGGGCCTGGGCTACAGGTGTGAGAGCCTGTCTTAAGAACAACAGAACTGGATGTGGGTGGCTCCCTCTTACAATCCCAGCCCTTGAAAGGCTGAGGCAGGGGTGTGGAGTGATTACCATGCATTTTAGGTCAGCTTGGACAGTGTGAGATCCTGTTTTACAAAACAAAAATAAAAATTAATAAATAGGCCAGAGATCGCATGCTTAGTGCTTGGTGCCTGATGAGCAGCAGGACTTCCTGCTAGTCATACCTGCTCAGTAAAGACACATGAACATACACATGTGCCCTGTCTGCTACAGGGTGCTGTGGAGACAGTTGAACAATTGCCA